TATGGTATCCTATATCATGTACTAATTAGGAAATAAAAAAAATAGAAAACTAAATAAATGAAAAATAATATATTATTTATCTTACACTGCAACAAAAAGTAATTCTAATAACATAAATATGGTGATTTATGTTATTTTATCTTATTTTTGAACTTATATTTTCTATTTATTCATCCTAAGTGTTGTTATTTAATTTAATTTATCTTATTTAATTTTCATTCATTTACAAAATTATTTTAATTTCATTTATTTTTCAATTTAATTTACCACATCTAATTTTAATTAAGTTTGTCATCATTTTACGTTGTGCTATTAATTTTTAATACATATACCTAAATTTGTTTTATTTATTATTTTAATTTACTTAAATTAATTTATATTTTTTTTATTTATCATAATTTTTATTATTTAAATTATTTTTGTTTATTCAAATATATATTAAATTAAAACTAAAAATAAATAAACTTAATAATTATCAAATATATTATTTATTTTTATTTTATTTTTTAATTTGTAATTTTATTTAATTCTAGTTTGTGTTACTATTTAGTATTTACCATATTTATATTTTGTATTATATTTATCTTACATAATTTTAATGTAATTTATAAAATTATTTAATTTAAGTTCATGCTATTATTTAAGTTAATTTAACTAATTTATTTATTTAAATTTATTACGTAATTATATTTTAATTTATCTTATTTTATTTAGATTCATCTAATTTTACTTCATTTTATATTTAACATATTTTATATTACTTTTTGTATTTATTTGTGTTAATTTTCATTTATCTTATTTTTATTATCAACCTTTTTAAATTTTTATACTTGATTGATCATATTAATTTAATTTCATTTCATTTTTGTATTTTATTTTAATGTCTTTAGAATTTATTTTTTATATCATATTATCCTTGTTATTTTATTTATTTACATATTTATTTATTTTATTTATTTTATTAATGTAATTGATTTATTTTTTTTATTGTAATTACTTTTAATTTTGTATTTCCAAAAAATATATACCTTCCTTTTCAATATTTGACATATGTCGTTGTGTCGTTTGGTGGTGAAAGAGTCTTGGTAATGTCCTTTTAGTGCAAGTTCAAACCCCATTCTTGACCTACATTTTTATTTTTGCAATTAACACTCTATAAGATAAAAAAAATATATATATTAATTATACAAGATAAAAAATAGTATAATTTTTGCAACAACCCCCATTCTTGACCTGCATTTTGATTTTTGCAATTAAAACTCTAAAAGATAAAAAAAGTAAATTATTAATTATACAAGATGAAAAATACTATAATATTTGCAACAACAATTGTATAATTTTTGCAACAACGAAACGCACACTAAGTTGGACGAAAATGGGAGAATTTTGCATTAATTAATTAATTAAAAGAAAAAAAAAGCACTAACTAAATAAAATATGGGGTATCTATATCTATATCTATCTATATATATATATAATAAAAATAACTATTTACTAAAATTAGTAATAAAAAATTCTAGGAGCATTTAATGCATATTTCTTTTTAGAAACTTATGCATCAATTGTTTTCATCTATGCATTTTTAAATAAGATCAAATCAAATATGATAAAAAATATTGTTTCCTTAAATAATGTTATTAATATCTACAATAATTTCATTAATATCCATTATAATAAATTACAAAATTGATTTTATGTGATTCATATTGACAATATTTTGGTCAAGATAAATATTACAACATATTTTAAGTTATAACCATAATACTAATTTTTTTCACAAATATTCACTTTTTATCCAAAAATATTTATATAAAATCGTAACAGGCTATGTAGATTTTTTTCTTCCAAGTAATCAGGCGAAATCAAGTTGGTGAATTAATCTTTGTCAATATAATTTTTTCTTAAGCTTTATTTCGTTACATATAAAAAATAAAATATTCTTCAAATTAATATAATTTACCATTTAAAAGATAATGACCAGATACATTAAATAATAGTACTACTGGTAAAAAATTAAAATTGAAATATATTAGCCGTTTTTTAGAATTTATTTGTATATTATTGACAACTATGATTATTTTTTTATCATCTTTTTTTATTTTTATTTATTTCTGTAATGAAATTCTTGTAAAATATATTTTCATTGCAGAGTATGCTAAAAAAACTATAAATCATTATAATACAAATTAGAAATATCTTGATTATAGAAGGGATTGAGTTTTTTGGCATTTGCTTAATAAAATATATTTAATTTGAATTCAAAATTAAATTCTAAAAATACGTGTGTCTATATTTCGTAAAATATTTATACACTATTTAATTTTAAATTTATTTACATAAATAAATCATACTAATATGCATTATATGTTTTTCATTACTTAAAATGAAAAGAAAAAACACGTACAAACTTCCATAACTTTTATAAAAAAATTGACATTATATGACAGCAAAGTTTATAATAAAATTATAATTAGATATTATATGGTGAACAAGAATAAGTAAAATTGTTATTTTCTCTTATATCAAGGAATAAATATATATACTAAAATCAAATTTATATTAGTATAAATATGTTAGTGAGATAATATATTACTTATTTTACAAGCTAGCCTAACATGCTTTATTTAATGTTCTGATTAAAAAAACAACGTTGAATAAAAGAGGTGAAAAATAGATTATAACCCTTTTGTTTTTTAGATTTAATGTTAATTAAAAGAGGTGGAAAATAGATGATAACCCTATCGCCTTTTAGTCTTAAACGGACCGAGTCTGTGAAGATAACTCATTTAATACCTCTATCTCGTGTATCGCACGGGGTACTGATATAGGATATATTATATACTAAACAAGTCTTAATGGATAAAAAGGGAATATATTGAAGAATAAGCCTACACATGGTTAGGACACGTGGCATGACGCAATTGGACAAGCCCAACTTGGGCCATAAGGTACATTTCCCCTATAAAAGGGGCTAAGGTATCTCATTCTCTCACTCTCTCCACATTCATAATTATACACTTGGGATTTGGAGTGGTTCTAACTTGAGCGTCGGAGGCCCGACGTCGGGACCCCTCCCAGCGTTGGGTTCTTGCAAGTCCGGTGGCCGTCCGAGTGGAAGGAGCCCGTGTGAAATCTTATTCACTTCGGGTACGTAGTGGTACTAGTTTTATTGAAAGGAGAAAAATTAAGTCAAATACAACAATTTGCGTAATAAACCTTAAAATTATAGGCGGTCTTCTAACCTGTTCTCCCAGTTTTATTGAGTTGTTGGCTGTTTGTATTCAGCTGGTGGCTAGATTCTTTACACATTTGTGCGCATTTATATAATATCTCTATCGTTTTGGCAAAAAATAAAAACCTTAAATTATGGTTATAATGTGGGGCTAATTTTGTAACTGCACTCATATTTCCATGATTTTACGTAGTTTCCAACCCCACAATCACCGAACACTTGTCAAATAAACGATGGCTGACAACTCCAATAACTGCATATACGTGATATGTGATGTGCTGTGTACTCTCTGGATTCCCGCCCAAAATTTCTTGTGATTCTAACCTTTTTTTACAATTATCAAGGGAATTTTCCGGTGAATCGCCGCCGATCCTTTCCCAATCGTTCATACTCCGACAGTAGTATATGTTTTATCACAGTCACCGCCCAATCAAATTTGTAGCCATATTAACTCCGACATTTAAAGTCATTTCCACTAAAATAAGTGTATCACAACTGTTTTCACGCAAATGCTATGTTAAATTATGAGGCCTTTATAATGACACCTGATTCTTTACGCTAACTCCTGCTATTTACTTGCAATTTTAAGAACGCACTTTACTTACGGATTCTAATCGTTATTTATTAATTACACACGCACAACTTTAATTTTGTTTTTCTAAACAAAAAATATGAAAAGGAATAATAAAATTTGTTTAGCCTCCTGTAGGCATAATTTTAGAAAATAAAAAGAAATCATCCTACATATAAATTTCGAATGTGACGAGGGCTAAGTGGCAGGCTCACACACTTTGTACTCCTTTTTTACAAAATTTTATATTTGGTCATTTGGCTTGAATAAAGTTTATTTTACTTTCAATCCATAATTAATTAAGTTTGAAATTATCTATAAATATATTGAATATTAAAATTATTTTTATGAGGATTAATTGTGTTTTAATAGTACTACTATAATTTTTTATAGACTAGGACATGATTTATAAAGAATGAAATTATTTGCCTCAATCTTTTTCTCTTTTTTTTTTTCTCAATTTGTTTACATATAATACACTTTACTAACTTAAATTACAATATATTTTAAAAGTTAACTTTATATTTATTGTTAATTTTTTATATATAATATATAAAATTAATTATCTCTTCATTAGGTGGGACATCTATATTGTATGACAAAGTAAATAAATAATTATATCTATATTTACAAATAAAGTTTAATGATCTATTAAATTAGTTGAAAAAACAAAATTATGTATTAATTAATTAATTTAACTACAAAGTAGTTATATGATATAAATAAAAAAATATTGTAAATATAAAATGATTAAGTAGTACTATATTTGATAGTAAATTTTTAAATATAAATACTAATAATATATATTTTTTTTAAAAAAATAATTAAAACATAATTTTTTTATTACTTTTTAAATTTTTCAAAAAACTATTTAATACTTAAAACATAATTATTTGGTTATTTTTTACATACATGTATACATTTTCAACAAGCACATCTATAATACAGTGCTATTAATTTATAAATTTAAACATCATTTTTTTTTACAAACACTCATCTAATAAACGATATTGTAATAGTTATATAATATACACAAATAATGAGAAGAATCTGAATTACCAACCTCCCAGTCTCTTCACCCACCCATAGGCCACCAACAATTCATTCTACAGAATCAGAAAAACAAAAAAGAGAAAAAACTTGCACACAAAATAAAATACCATATTCCCCAAAATTCCTAAATTAGCCCTAGAAATCTCAGCATGGGCTGTTTTCTGATGGGCTGAGAAGGTCAGGCCCAACGTTACCCCTGCAGACGGGGCAAATGGAGTTCCTCGAGAGCCACGCGTCGGCGCATTCTAGATGAAACCCGTGATTGCACCCGGGAATAACCCTCGCCGCCTGCTCCGCCTCGATCTCGTCCAAACACACCGCGCAATCGGCGGCCAGCACCAGATCCTTCCCGGCGACCTTTGGCAGCTTCTGGAGATCGGACTCCGACAGACCCTTCTCCGGGCGGCTCTTGATCGGAAAATCGTGCCTCTCGGTGGAGCCGCCTGCGGAGTAACAGAGCAGACAGATATAGACAAGGAAGACGGCGCTCATGCCAGCGCACGGTAGAAACAGAGCGAGAAATACTGAGACCAGCATTTCTCACTCTATTTCCCGATTTCCCTTCTCTATTTGTTTGTTGGTGGGTGAAATTGGGAGGAATTGTGATTCTAGTCGACCATGGCTGAGGACGATGGTAAAGATGGCGTTTGGGAAAGGGGTTTATATATGGTGGGTAGCTGAGTGTGGAGTTTTTACTTTTTTATTTTATTTTAGGGGATGTTTGGGGGAGTGAATTTTGTTGGTAAAATGGGTATGAGCTGGAAAAAGGTAAATAAGTGCGCTGACGTTTGGAAATTTATGTAATGTGGTAACAAATTCAAATGATTTTGTATGCGCCGTCCGTTTAGCAGAATCAAATAGTAATAGATTTTTTTTTTATTTATTTTTTTTTAATTAGTGGAAAAGCGTATGTGCAATAGAATGCAAAGTATCAATATATATATATAATGACTCTCTACTAACGTTGACTACCAATGTGAAATTGTGAATTTAAATGGTGTAATCAGTTATAACTTTTGGGTCCGTCACGCAAATACGCAATACAGATTTGCAAGCAAAAGCAACACAAAACAAATTGTTTTGGAGACGATAAAAAGGCTGGAAGAACTTTAGTTCGTTTATTATTATTACTAGTGCGTGGCCCGTAAAAAAAATATTACGATTGTATTATAAATTAAATATAAAAATAACATTAATCATGATTTATCCATTATTTTTAAATTAAATCGGGTTGGACACAGTCCGACCGGATGGACCGAGAACCGGTTTATAACCAGTCTAGTTCGCTTGAATACAATATTTGCTCTCGAATCCGTCACCACCAGTCGGTTGGACTGATAGGATCGATACGATTTACTAAATAAATTTTATTATATTTAAAAATATTTTAAATAAAATTACATATTTAAATAAAATAGAGATTTATAAATTATTTATCAGTTAGTTTAAACATTTCAAAAAATTAAGATTAATTGATTAATTATGCAATTTAAAGAATATTTTTAGCGTTCATTTTTTTTAAGGCACAAATATAAGACCGAGATTCAAAAACTTTTGTTATATTTTGAATTGAGATTTTATAAATATAGAGACCCAGATTTAATATTGTTTGTTGTTTCTAAGAAAAAAAATAAAAATAAAAACGTACACACTTAATAAATCTTAGCCGGATTTTTTAAATAATAAAATGAACTAAAGCCCGAAACTTAAGGTAGCATTTAATGTTGTATGATTTTTAAAGAAAAAAATAAAAAAAAATAATAAAACTTACTATTTATAGGCTGCATTAAATTATTGATCTATTTTTTTGCTACTATTTTTGGTAAATGTTAATTCTTATTATATATATATAGATTATTATTATTATTTAGAAAAGCTGAACATCAAGGACAAGAAATGGTTAAAAAAGTAACACCAGGGATTCTCTTGTAGAAAACAATTAAATGAGATATCTGAACCTGGACCAAAAATGTGTTTGAAATGCTTAATTAAGTTTTATAAATATGTACATACTCCTCGTATTTAATTTTGCTTTGATGCAAAATAGTGTAATAAAGAACAGAATGGGAGAAACTTTATAGAGATCAGGTGAATTTTAATTTAGTGCATGTGAATTTCTCATAAAAAGGAACTTTATGAGCTGTAACTCATTATAGAGCTGTAATTTGATATTTGGACTATACTTGATAGATATTTGTAGCCACAGTGAATTAATTACTTGAAATTGCAAGGATCCGTGGTTTCTAATTTTTTTATTAATACTTATTTATTTCATTGGCTTGTCCTTCAAGAATAAGGTATCACCCTTCCTTTTCTTCGTGGTTGCCATTTAATAAAAAAGATTAATACGATAGTTGACGCTAGGGGTGAACATAGTTCGGTACAATTTGGAGATGGACAAATTTTTGGAACCGTACCAAAGTTCGGAGATCACTAAATTTGATTTCCGCAACCGTACCAAAAAATGAAGACGGTTCAGTTCAGAAATTTTTATTTTTCGGTTCGGTTCGGTTCAGTTCGGTATTCGAGACTATCGGAATGATTCGATTCGGTTTGGTTCGGTTCGAATTTCTAAAGACTAGTACTGTGCCCGTGCGATGCAAGGGAGCATTTATTATATATATATTTTTTAAGAGATATTTTTGTATTTAAATTGTCTCATGCCATTAAAAATTTCATGAAAATAAAATTTATATGTTATTAAACACTTCCTTATGTACAACATTATTAATTTGATTCTTTGGCACGTAAAGTACTACATAGGTGTTTGAATTTATTCAAAATTGCATATTATTAATTATTAGTTCACAAATTTTAAAAAAATTAAAGGAACAAAATTAAAGTAGAAAAAAAAAGTAAAACTTTTTAGAGATTTTCACTCATTATTTATTTTAAATCTAATTCTAAATTTCAATTAAGAAAAATTGAAAAGAATCATTAGTTAGTCCCGGAAATGAAACCGATTTTCTTACCAATAAACCGATTTTTTTATCAAACAAATTGATCCGATTTTTTTTTTAAACCAAATAAAAAAAAATCATCAATTTTTCCGAAAAATGCAACCAAATTTTCCTTAACATTGCACCAATTTTTGTACCAAACAAATTGAATTGAAAATAATTTTAATAAAAAAAATTGAAATAAATTGTTAATGAACTTAACTAAAAAATAAAATGATATGAACTTACCAAAATCTCGGTAAAACATGGTTAAGAAAAAGCATAAGAATCCAAAAAATTCGATGCATTTAAATTTTGAATAGTTGCACATAATTTTTCATAAATAATTGGATAAGGTGACTTTAAATATCAATGATGAACCGCTTTTGTTACCAAAAACTGTGGACACAATTTTGAATGTACATCCCGTCCAAATATCAATTTTATTTTAAAATAAAAATTGCATGTGGCTTTATCCAATTTACACAATTTTTTTGAAAGAAAAAATTATTCAATAAGATTGGAAGAATTGATTAACAATTATACAACTATTTGCTTCCCAAATTTGTATCCAATTTCCATGATTTTTAAATTAATTTATATTTAGAACTGTTTTCATAAATAATTGACACATTTTTTGCATAAGAATCTCCAAATTTGTTACCAAAAAAGATATGATTTAAATTTTGGTAAAAAAATAAAATATGATACGAAAAATATGAGATTCAAATTTTTCCATAAGAATCTCTAAATTTGTTAACAAAAAAATAGGATTTAGATTTTGTTAGTAAAGATTCACATGTGTTTTTTTGAACTTTCTATTAATAGTAAGTCAAATATTATATTTATTTGGTCAAACATTCTATTAATGTATTTTTCCAACAACCTCTTTATATATACTAGTGAGCAACCCGTGCGATGCACGGTGAGGCTTGTTCCTCAAAACCTATTTAAAACTTTATTTCTAAATATAATTACTAAAGTTTAAACATTTTATTTTGGCAAAAAATTAGATACAGAGTATGAAAAATCATATATTGTTGAATAGTTCCCTATACACAATATTTTTTATTTGAATATGTGGCAAACTTTCTTGTCAACAAATTAAAATTTTCAAACAATTGTGTGAAAAAAATTAAATTATAATATATTATTTATAGTGTAATAAATCATAATATAATATTTTTAGTGTGATAAAATGTGTTGGGATAACTATGACCATTTGAAAAAATATTTAATAGTAATCTTAAAACTTTAATAAATGTAAAAAGATAAATATGACCATTTGAAGAAATATTTATTTGTAATCTTAAAATTTTAAATTTTGATAAATGATTGTATATATGCGCCAAGTTTTTAGGAACCAATCGATCATATAATATAAAATTCTTATATGATTTCCAGAGTCTTACGAACGTGACATGAACTTCATTTTTTAATTTCAAATTTAAACAAATCAAAAGACAAATTATTAGGTAGTTATGAAAAAAAGTATCCAACAAACTATTTTTTAATTTCAAATTTAACAAATCAGAAGACAATTATTAGGTAGTTATGAAAATAGTCTCCAACAAACTTCAAATTAAACGACACACAACCATCAGATTTGGAGTTGGTTGCAGTCGGTGATCACCACCCGTCTCGAGGTCCGGTGGCTCCCCGACCCGACATTCTCCACCGCCTTCAATATGTCGTACTCCTCCACCACCTGCCCGAACACCACGTGCTTGTTGTCAAGCCACTTCGTCCTTGTCGTGCAGATGAAAAAGTACGTGTCATTTGTCCCCGGAACAGCCTTCGCCATTGACAGGTCCCGATGTGCTTTCTCATGATGTTCTCGTCGGTAAACTTGGCGTTGTAGATCGACTTGCCATCGTTACCCGCAGTGAAGTCACTGCTCTGACAAATGAAATTGGGGATTATACGATGGAAGGATGACCCTTTGTGGTGGAGGGGCTTGCCAGATTTGCCGACGTCCTTCTCGTTGGTGCATAGGGCGCAAAAGTTCTCATCGGTCTTCGTGACGACGTCGGCGAAGAGCTCCATCACGATTCAACGGCGGGGCTGCTGATGGTTATGTCGAAGTAAACCCTAAGATTCGATAGGTTGATTTGAATTTTTTATTTAGGAGTTTTTTGTGATTTTTTTTATTTGTGACTAACTGATTTTTTTTTTGGTCTCATACTTAGGGTTTTGTAATTGGATGGGGAGGGGTTTATATAAGGGATCGATTGAGTGCAAACTTTAAAAAGATGGATTCTTTCTAAACTTTAGAAAGATATTGTAGTTAGATAAATATGGAGAAAAAAGTATTTACCAGGAATTCACAAAATATGAGATTCTTTCCAAACTTTAAAAAGATTTTGTAGTTTAATAGATAAGGACAAAAAAATATCCATAGATAGAGATTTACCCGGATTTTCAAACCTTTTTTTGTATATATATATATAAATCAATTTGTGCTTTGGGTGGAAATTTACGGTTTTTTTTAATAAATTCATTATTAGTAAAAACGAAAATTTAGGCGGGATTTTACATACTATCACAGCTAAATGTTTTGCCTTTTTATATATTCATAGATATATATATTTAAGTTGTGATTTTTTTATATTATATGATTATATGGCTAAAAATATGTTAGTTTCAATCAAATAAGTCATATATTATTTCAGTTGAAAAATATAAACCACCAAAAAATATAAAAGTAGTTAGGATATATGTCATAAAATAATGTAATTTATTATTTTTAAGAATAACAAATCAATATATTTACACACAAAATTCATAAATATAAATAATTTATGGAGGATTGAAATTTATCAGTACTTAGTATAACATCCATTACTCTCGGAACAACTTTCTGTTGATTTGTAACATTAATTTGAATGAAAAAAATCCGTAATTGTGGGAATATCTTGATTCAAAATCTCAATTTTTTGGCATAAGAATCTCCAAATTTGTTACCAATAAAAATGAGATTCGTATTGATGAAATGAATTAAAGTTTGGCATAAGAATCTCCAAATTTGTTACCTTAAGAATCTCCAATTTTTATGGGATATCTCATTAAATTTGATTCCTAAAGAAAATAAGTTGTTTCAATCAAATAATTCATATATTATTTCAATTAAAGAATATAAACCACCAAAAAATAGAGAAGATGTTAGGATTTAGGTCATAAAATAATGTAATTTATTATATCCAAGAAAACCAAATCAATATATTTACACACAAAATTCATAAATATAAATAATTTACGGAGGATTGAAGTTTATCAATATTTAGTATAATATCCCTTATTCTCGGAACAATTTGTTGTTTGATTTGCAACATTAATTTGAATGGAAAAAAAAATACATAATTGTTGGGATATCTCAATTCAAAATTTCAATTTTTGCCATAAAAATCTCCAAATTTGTTACCTATAAAAGTGAGATTCGTATTTATGAAATGAATTAAATTTTGGCATAAAAATCTCCAAATTTGTTACCTTAAGAATCTCAAATTCTTTTGGGATATCTCACTTAAATTTATTTCCTATAGAAAATAAGTTGTTTTAATCAAATAAGTCAAATATTATTTCAATTAAAGAATATAAACCACCAAAAAATAGAAAAGAAGTTAGGATTTAGGTCCTAAAATAATGTAATTTAGTATTATTTAGGAAAAAAAATCAATATATTTACACACAAAATTTATAAATATAAATAATTTATAGAGGTTTGGAGTTTATCAATATTTAATACAACATCCATTATTCTCGGAACAACTTTTTGTTTGATTTGATACATTAATTTGAATAGAAAAAAATTTCGTAATTGTTGTGATATCTCAATTCAAAATTTCAATTTTTTGGCGAATCTCCAAATTTGTTACCAATAAAAATGAGATTCGTATTTATGAAATGAATTAAATTTTGGCATAAGAATCTCTAAATTTGTTACCTTAATGATCTCCAAATTTGTTACCTTAAGAATCTCCACATTTTTTGGGATATCTCCCTTAAATTTGATTTCTAAAGATTCACATGTGTTTTTTTCAAAATTTCTACTAATAGTAAGTCAACACTTTATTTTTAAAGTCAAAGTTACTATTTTTGTATTTTTCCAACAACCTCTTTATATTACTATAGATATAGATATAGATTCGTAATTATTTTCTGAATGACTACCTAGATATATTTTAATTTTTATATGCTTAAAAATTTCAACATTCATCAATACTTCATCATATTAAAGATTTTAAATAATTTTTTTAAAACAAGAAAAATTCAATTAGATCTAATATTACTAAGACACACATAATCCAAGAATTCACAAATCCCATAATTCACAAACCACAATTCCATACTGACAAATTTTGAATTTAGTTGTGAATTTTGTTTATCAATACATGTGTAATACCAAATAGCATTGAACCTTTGCGGTCTTCAAGCAGTGGGTGTCGACGTGTCGTAGTATTATTATTAAACTGATAGATATTATGGTAAAAATATCTATCAATTTATTTTTATTTGAAAATATATCATCTTTAAAAAAATATTTCTCTCCAAATTTTATGAAAGATTTTCTTCATAAAGGCCGGTTTCCAAAACATTCTAAATTTGAATTTAGTTTCTAATTAATGATTTTTTAAATAAAATTTGACACGTTGATTACCATAATTTGTGATAGGAAAGTATATTAATTTAATTTATTTTCAAACTAATGCCTCACATGCAGTAAGAAAATAAAATAACTATTTTTTCAATCATTTAATAATATTAACATTCAACAGTGGAGGATTTTTGCAATTCAATTTTAAATATAATATATGATAGCTTATGAACATAAACCTAATGTATATGAATTTATTTACAATTGGACTTTAAATACAAATATGTACAAAGTTGAAGAGAAAGCATAAGATGAAATATTATATTTATATGAATTTTATGAATTAAAATCGGTTCTTGTTTAGTTCTATGTTCGGTATGGTTTTTTTCGGTTCGGTTCTCGGTTCGGATATTTTATGAATCTCCAGAACTGTACCAAATCTTTTTTTGATATGGTTCGGTTCGAATAAAGTCAAACGGTCAACGGACATTTTTTGATTCGAGGTGAATCCGGTTCTGTTTTCCAAACGATTCGGTAATCTCCGAGTCCCGTGCTCAGCCTTAGTTGAAGCACAAGAAATAGATGTTAGATATTTGATGCACAAGATATAGATGTTAAATAAATCATCTTAGTGGGTCTTTCTGTTTAGACCATAAAATAATAATAGATTTTATTCATATTTCACCTCTTTTAATCAGTATTGCTTTTTTTTGTAACGAAAATCATTTACCATACGTTAATATTATTTTTTAATGATAGGTAGAAAAATGCACATATTTTATATATTTGCTAGTATAATTTATATGCTTAATTTATTCGCACATTTTTTGACTTATGTATTATTTGAATGAATTTATTTACTTTAATGATTTATGTGTGGAAAATATATTTAAGTATTTTTGTGGATGGCAGAATATTGAAAAAGAGTATAAATATTGGACCTTAATTTTATATATAAGGTGTGAGAATCAATTGGAAGAAATAAAAAGTTGAGTCTAAATATTATTGAGGAGTCATTGGCTAATACAAGGGTCTAATTATTAGTGACTAACAAAAAAGTAGAAGACATACTTTGATTTTGACTTGGCTGGCCAAGAGCTCCCGTGTA